CCCCTACTGCAACCATGGACCTGAGGAATGTATCGTCAATTGATATTGTTAGTGTATTGAGATAATTGTGTTAAGTATACTGTAACTTGTGTGATAGGAAGGATTACTGTACATATCATAGTTGACAATATCACGAGATGAGTGAAACGTGTCGTGGTTTAGTACGTTATGGTGCGCATTATCGAAAGAATTCGTTCATTTGCCCTGAGTGTATTCAGAATATACTCAATACAAATTCCAAATTAATCCCCGTTCAGAAATACAAACTTTAAAGCTCAGCAAACAATTTGATACTGATTTCCCTCCAGCTTTGCAACGGCATTAATTATATTTATTCCGTTTTAACGAAATATCCACTTTGAAAGGTATTATTTGCTATAAACATTGGCAGGCAAGGTACATGCATGTTACTCGACATTCAACAAAGCCACTCGATCAGTATAAGTTGACTGATCACAGTCTAGAATGCCCGTCCGCTCCCAACAGTTCACAACTGTGGACTGCGCTACAGAGCGCCAGGCCTCTCGAGCCCACCTCATCGCATCGACAACTGGCACTTCATACAACTTGTCTAGACGTCCGGCCATGACAGAGTCGATTTGGCTCAACGCGTTCATGAGTTGCAGCTGCTTCACTTTAGCCTTGAAAGAGGCAATAATACCGGCGTCTTGCGGTTGGAGGTATGCAGTGGTATTCTTCGGTAGCATGCCCAACTTAACATTTGTGAACTCTGACTCATCGTTCACTTTGTGTGCAGGGGCATTATCGACGAGCAGCAAGATCTTCGGCAGCCATCCGGGTGTTGAGCAAACGCAAGTACGTGGTGAAGATCGCACTATTCATCCACGCCATTTTACTTGACGTGTAGGCAAAGCCGAGTTCATTCGCCGATGCGTTGTTGAAGCATCGTGGGTTTGCGGCGTTTCCGATAAAGAGCGGGTCAACGGCGTCGGTACCATTCGCATTGGTGGTAAGCGCAAGCTTTATTCGCTTCTTTGACTTCTTTGTTCCAGGGACGCGACTTCTGGTAATAGAGCGATGGGGCGACATGCAGAAGAAAAATGAAGTTTCGTCCATGTTGTAAATGTTGCTGTGGCTGAAACCGGCTGTTATAGCACGCACTTCTTGGCGGCCTTGGTCGACGGCTTCGCGGGGTGTTGAACCAGTTTCGCCATGCTGGCGTTTACTGGTGAAGCCATGTTTTCGCTGAAATTTTTGAAGCCAACCCTTGGAGAACTTGAGTGGCGTTTGCAGGTCAAGTTCATCGCAGCAAGCCCGAGCTTGTGTTCGGATTTACTCTCCAGTAATACAAACTCCCAATTCCTCGCACCGCGGTACCCATTCGACGAGTTTAGCTTCGACCTCGGGAAAAGTCACAGGATGATCGATCGATCGATTCTTGTTGTCGTCTCGCCAGCTCAGTGTCTGGTTCTTCTTTACTATACGCCCAATCGTTGACTTCAAGGGTGTGGAAGTCAGATTAAACTTCTCAGTCGCCCAATTCGCCAGTGCCGTGTATGATGCGTCATGTCGCAAGATATGCTCTGCATAGAGCTCATGCTTGTCCATCAAGGTCATTCGCAACTTCATTTTGAAAGTGTTGAGCATGGACATTTGAAAATTAGAATTCCCTCTGTCTTCTTATAATATTATTGTGTAGAAATGATCGAAATTGCCCCGTTGCAAAGTCGGAGGGAAATCAGTAGACTGCAAAACGGCCAGCCTGGGTGATTTTCTGTCGATTTATTGTTAAACGTCATGCATATATTGAGTTGAACCAAGTCAATTTGGCGCTAGATTATCAATGAGACAAACACGATCATCTAAATCTGGATACATGAGACCAAATTTTCTCTGTTACTAGGTGTACTATATATATTGCAATCAAAAATCAAGTACTGATTTCCACCCGACTTTTAAACGGTAGCCGAGTAACAACTCTCAAAGAAAACTAAAATATACATGTACAAATTATTACAACTCCATGGACGCTACGTGTTCGCTGAACGTCGACAGTTCAGTGTCGAGGATGCCTGTCCGATTCCAGCAGTTTACCACGGTTGCCTGTGACACAGAACGCCAGGCATCCTTTGCCCACGACATT